CTTAACAGATTATTATTCTAGTTGCAAGCATACAGTGGTATCATCTAGTTGTTCTCCAAAGGAGGTGATGTTTACCAAAATTCAAAATACATTCTCTTTGAGCCAGTAATTCTGCTATTTCTAAGGACTTCTATATCACTATACTGTCAGATGTGTACAAAAGTCAGTATTAGGGGGGATCCCTGGGTGGCGCAGCGGTTTGGCGCTTGCCTTTGGCCCAGGGCGCGATCCTGGAGACCTGGGATCGAATCCCACATCAGGCTCCCGTTGCATGGAGCCTGCTTCTCCCTCTGCCTGTGTCTCTGCCTCTCTCTCTCTATCTCTATCTCTCTGTGACTATCATAAATAAATAAATAAACAAATAAATAAAAAAAAAAGTCAGTATTATGTAAGGGTGGCCATTGTGGCACTATTTGTAATACCAAGAAATGGGACAGTCCAGGAGACTGGTTAAGTCAGTTCATTCCAACACTGTAGTACCAAGTAGTTATTAAAAGACAATATGAGGTTTTATATATTATCTCCAGGATATCTATCTAGTTAGAATAAGCAGCAGTCATGCTTTTTTAAAGTTTATTAAAAAGGAGGAGGTTGGCTGTATGCATATATGCTCTATTATGCATGTACTCTGTATGGACACACAAGGGACTGGTGATACTGATGGATCCTGTGGTGGGAGGGAGACAGACTACTTTTCCTTAGTATACCCTTTGATACGGTTTGAATTTTTCCCATAGTCAGATATTAATTTTACTTATTAAAGACAAAAATATTAGGGAGGTATGAAAGAAGTTCTATTTATTTTTTTTCTTTTCCCCCTACTGTGTGTGTATGGGATCATCTGGCCAAGTATATGGTAGAGATTTTGCCCATTAACAGATGAGGATGGAATCATTTAAATTACTTGCTTTGTGCTCACAAAAAAAAAAAAAAAAAAAACAAACAAACAAAAAAAACCACTTTATTTACTATTTACAACCCTATGAGGTAGTTAATAGTATTTTTCTTTAATGGTGAAGAAAAGGATCAGGTTAAGAATCCTGTCCTAGGTGACAGGGCTGCAAGCAGCACAGCTGCCATTTGAATTTAAGTGGTGGGGTCGTGATCTTTTCCACTATACCTCTGTGGCCTTATCTTGCACGGTACATCTTGTCTTACCAGTATCAATATTCTTCTGTACACAGGTACCGGTGGGCCTTTATTCCAGAAGCCTCAGATGACTCCGGTTTGGAAGTCAGAAGGCAGGGCATACATCAACGAGAGTTTAAACCTTATGTAGTTCGACTAGCAAAACTTCTTCGGAAAAGGGCAAAGGTATTGCATTCTTCTTTTTTCTTTTTAAATGTAAGAAGATAAAATTTGTAAAGTGTGTTTATATGTCTTATGTACTTTATATTTTTTAGTGTGCATCAGGCTAATTAGAGATCCTTGCCCCAGAAAATAATAAATTTGGCATGCTCCTCAGTGAGCCTTTGTTCCAAATCTTTTGTCTTTTTTTTTTGCATTAAAATTTTTTCAGGGGCATCTGGCTCACTCAGTTGGTGGAGCATCCGACCCTTGATCTTGGGGTCATGAGTTTGAGCCCCATGTTGGGTGTAGACATTACATACAAAAAATAAATAGAACACAAACTTTTCGAAATTTTTTAATTTCTTCAAAAATGTAGTTTGGGGATGATGTGGGTTTGCAGTGTGTGCTTTGAGTGCTCAGAAATTTTCCAGTCTTCTGGGGTTCCCTAATCAGGCAACAGCCCCTAAACTGAACCACATTCCACAAACTAGAACAATGGGATGGGAGGACAGTCACTTAGGATGTTCTGCTTGAAGGATCTGAGGAACTTGATTTTAAATCAAGTTGTTTCTTTAGGGAACTAAGTAAAAGGGCAGAGATGAAGATAAAAGTTGGATCCAGAGTTTATAGAATAGACCTTGGGTACCTCTCACTTTGATATCAGAGTTCAAAAAAATCATCATGGTGACAAATCCAGAAGCCGTGTGACTGTGTATGACCTCAGGCACATGCACTTTGTCATCCCTGCATCTCTTTACTATTGACAGTTTTTATAAGACTCCTCTTGTATCTGAGGGATAAAGACAGCTTTTTGCCTAAAACGTGTCCCCCACCATAAGAAAAGTTTTGATTAGAAAGCATTTTCTGCACGTTAAACAAGGTCTTCATGGCCAAGCATACTTTTCATTGGAACAAAGGCTATGAGTTCTCCTCTTTCCTTCCACAGGACAAGGAGGAGGACTTTAAGACAGTGATTTTGGAGGGATTGGAGATGGCCAAGCATCAGGTGAGGGTGGCTTTTTGATGCTTGTGATATGGTGGCTAAAGTTGCCACATCTGGACCAAATATTGAGACACAAACCCAGGTCTGGGTTTCAACAAGTACAAGAGAGGTAAACAGTAAGGAAGCCCATCTTCAAGTGTAGACTGGTGAAGTGAAAGGAGAAATCATTTTTCTGCAAACATGTCTGACTTTTTAATTTTATTTATTTTTGAGGAGGTGGTATTCTGATAAGAGCAGAGCACCACAAATGCACTCTTTATTGGTCAATAGCTTCTTAGTAAAAAGCCCTAAGTATGTTTTGGCTGGAATAGAAACAAAAGGTCACACCTTAGTTCTCTTACATTTGTAAACTAGTTGTATAGAGGGTTCAAGCATATTATGCATTTTCCCTCAGGATAAACTCATCTCTGTTTACCCTTAAACTACGATTGGATTGCAGTTTGATGTAGGGGACTGAAAAGGTGGGACGGTCAGCCACCTAATGGTAGTCAGTGATGTGAAAGTCAGTCCCAGAACTGGTAAAGCCAGTGTTCTAGTTAAACAAAAGGAAGAGAGATTTTCTGTATCCTCGGTTTTAGATTGGGAGGTTAAATAATTGCTGGGACTGGATGATCTTTTTTTTTTTTTTTTTTTTTTGTTTCCTCCTGCTTTAACTTCAATCTATTTTCCTTTCTCAGGATTTCATTTTTAAATGATCACACACCAGAAAATAAGCTGGGTTTTTACATCTGCATTCTCCACTGGGAAACTAGTGTTATTTAAAAATTAGATTAACAGTGAAAGTTTCTCACAACATCTGATCTGAGAAGGCAAACCATTTGTTAATCAATAGGACAGATTATAGTTCTGCTTTTTAAGTTCCCCTTCATGTTTTTTTGCCCATTTTCTCTCTACTCAGTGTTTTTGTATCTGTGATTCTGCCCAAATCCAGACATCTCAGTTCTCTTTCTTTCCCTAGAGATCTACATCTTTGTATAATCTAGTTGGCTGCTTAAACCAGCCTCTTGGTACACAAATTATTTTAACTGTAATTACTTTTAGTTGGACAGTTTTCACCTACATTCTTGTTTGACTTTTCTGCTGGAAGATAGATTTCCCCACTTTTTAAAATGAGGAACCTTTCTGCATCTTGCCCAGATGCCCCCCCAGTGAGTAAACTGCAGAGCCATGACACCAACCCTGTTATTTTGACTCCAGGTCCAGCTTTCTTCCTCATGTTGTTTACCATGGGGAAGAAGCAAACGTCATTGTCTCTCCTGAGTGTTCCTTTCCTTTCTCTTGTAGTGTAAGCCACTTGGCTAAAAGGGAATTACCTGACTTAATAATTAGGCGAACTGGAGAAGACTACTGTCTCTTCCTAACCTCCTTCTGTCATCACCTTGTGACTTAGTCCTGGGCCACCTTAGTAGGAGCCCAGAAACCTGGGAGCTTTTTGAGTATATGCAAAGCACAATATAAACTGTTGACTCTCCCTCTCCAAAACCAATTCTGCTAACTGAGCTTGCTTGCACACTCCAGGTGGAAAATGTACCTGCAGTGTCCACACTTAAAAACCGGCACTAAGAGGCAAGAGTTGAATCAAGTCTGGAATGGAGACTTAATGTCATCATCTGTTAACTGTTGCTGGTGTTTGTACCCTTTCAGATTTTCTCATTTGTTAATAGCATTCCCTTTGTGTTTTCAACAGAAAAATCCAGAGGAAGACAACTCAGGGAGAACGTTGGGTTGGGAGCCGGGGCACTTGCTGCTTACCATCTGCACCGTGCGCAGTATTGAGCAGCTCCTGCCATTCTTCAACGTGCTCAGCCAAGTCTTCAACAGCAAAGTTACCAGCCGATGTGTAGGACACTCAGGGAGCCCCATCCTCTACTCAAACACCTTCCCTAATAAGGACATGAAACTGGAAAACCACAAACCATTTTCCAGCAAAACCAGGCAAAAAATAGAAGAGATGGTAGAAAAAGATTTTCTGGAAGGGGTGACAAAAACTTGAAGCACCACAAGTGATTCCATTTAGTTATATGTAAATGTAATTATTTAAAACAAACATTGCTCTGAGTTGTATAGTTTCTTTTTTCTCTTTTTTGTATGTAACAAAAACCCATTTCAGGTTGTATTTAATTTAAATATTTGTAAATAAGAGCAAATGTCTGAATGTGGCCTGAATCAAGTTTAAATATCGTTGGCTCATATCGATTATGGTGCCTGAGAGAGATCTATATATACATATATAGTCCGCTGTTTTACTGTCCTGAGTTGTCTTAAACCTGCAAAATACACACTGCACATTTTTTGCTATTGGTTTCAGGCTTTAATTTAGATCTGTTGCGCTCTTTCTGTTATTAACCACATTCTAGTATCAGAATGGTGTCGCTTCTCTGTTGGAGGCATAGTAATGTATGACAATTTTATCTCACATACATTCCTAAGAAGAGTAAAGAATAACTGGAGCCTGGGCCATGCATCCTCCTAAATGTAGCACGAGCATCTCAAGCTCAGTACAGAGATGCACAGCCTCTGTATCACGCCTCTGAATTCCTGGTGATGTTCATTCAAAAGGTAAGTCATTTAAAAATCATTCTAAATTTTGCTGTGGAAAAATTGGTTGTATGAAGTCTTCTCCACCCTCCTCATTTGTATTAACAGTGGTGAATCCTCCAAAACAGTGAGCATGATTAGGTTACGACGATGGAAAAGACGTTCCAAGGAGCTGATAATAAGGTTTAATTTTCCAGCAGCCCTCGTGAATTTTCCCTGCATGTATTATAAAGTTGATAATTGAACCATAGAGTGAAGCCCCACTTTACATTAATGAGATTGAAATTAGGTAAGTTTTGCTTTTTAAAAACTAAATTTAACAAGTCTTACCTACTTCAAAACAATTACTGTGGTAGTGTTTAAGAAAAATAATCAGTTTTAGAAGCACAATCTAGTAAGATGCACTGTAAACATTATGATTATAAATGGGTTTGAACCTGTCACAATAATGGGAGTACTATTATTTTGTAAAAACTTTTTAAAAATCCAGTTTCTCATGAATATAAAAATTGTCTTCAGAAACCTGGTTGGGGTGGTTCTCCAACTCCTCCAGCCAGCTGAAATACTGCCAGGCTCACTGCGTGTGCAAGGCTATCTGCATTTTCCTGCAAATTACATGAAAAGAGATTAGATGAGAAAGAGCATCTCTCAGGTAACTTGGGACTGTGAAGGGGAGGGGACTTCTTGATTTTGTTTCACTAACATATTCAAATGAAAAAAATTTTTTTCACCTTTCAGTAACATTCCAATACTCTTAAATAAATAAATGGAAATCTCAAATTCTTCTAAGTCAGGTGAGTCCTTAATTTTGTAATCTGATTTATCATTCCAAAACTGAATAATTCAATACATCTATTTAGAAGCAAAGCCACAACTGACCTAAAAGTAACTGTTACAAGGTCCCAGATGGCCTCTCCCCATAAATCAGGAATTTTTATTCCCTGTATTCTAGGATGGCCTAAACCTCTGCCAAAAAGCTGCCAGCTCCCTAATAAAATGCTTCCTTCTGAGTGCCTATTCAGTCCACTCTATATTGCCTCAGTTGTGCACACACTTTCATTTTATCAAGGGTTTAAAGATGATGGTGTCTGAAGAGGACAAATGTTAAAAATCCAGACTGTGAGGTCTTCGCCCTACGGCAGAAGCACATGGCAAGGCTGTTTAGAGGAAATTACTTTGAAAAACAAATCAGAAGTCCAGGAACAAAGGGGTGGCTCAGTTGGTTAAGTGACTGACTCTTGGTTTCCACTTAGGTCATGATTTCAGGGTCATGGGATCAAGTCCCACATTGGGCTCTGTGCTCAAATAAAAAGTCCAGAGACAAAGATGAATTTCGATCAGCATGGCTGATGGTACCATTAATTTAGACATGTACCTCAAAACTGGTTGTTTCCGTAAAGCAATACGTTAAAGAAGGGAAAAAAGGATAGTCCACTTCAGGCCATATAAGCTGAGCATAGGCAAACTAAGTACTAGTTACTCATGCCACAGCTAGAAATAGGACACTTTCAGGAAGTCTGGAATAAATCAAAAGAAAAATATTGGGGGAAATAAACTAAGTGGGTCTAAATTTTTTAATATGAACCTAAAAATCCTACATAGACAAATCTCAGATGTTAAACCCTGAATTTTCACAGTGAGACTGCAACACTATTCAAATTGTTTTCTTTTCTCTCCAACTACCACCCCTACTACCCAATGCTGTCAGATTCTCACTACACATTTTTTTAATAGAAGTGTCCCAGCTTACCTGTGAGTCTGCTTCTGCATATACTCGGACGATATCTTCTGTACCAGAAGGCCGGACAAAAGCTCGGGAAAGCTTGTACTTCTTCACAAGGTCATTGATTGCTTCCTGTAGGCCTGGAGGTGTAACTACTTGTCTTTCAGCATCAGTGGTGCTGATAACTTGCCTGTCTGCAACCTATGCACAAACATCTTATATTTGTCACTATATCACAATTCCCACCAAAAGACTGTAGCCATTTCATTTTAATAACAGACCTCATTGTACAGCCAAGTGCAACACTGTCAGATAGTAACCTACCAGAACAAATACAGAATGCAACTGCATTAAAATTCTATAGGGTGCCTGAGTGGCTCAGTGGTTGAGCTTCCAACTCTTGGTTTCAGCTCAGGTCTAATCTCAGGGTCCCGACATAGAACTCCACACTGGGCTCTGTGCACAGTGGGGAGTCACCTTGAGGTTCTCCCTCTGCCTCTCCCCCTGGCTCAGGAACTCACATGTTCATTAATCTTTTTTAAAAAAAAATTTATGATTTTTATTTGACAAAATCAGGGTTATTAATTTCAGTTGTATAACTTCCTTCTTCAGTCTCTAAACAGTTACCACTAAAGTAATGGCTAGTACTATAGGACTTCAGTACACTGATCAAATAACCATAAGAAGGTCATGATAAAAATCACCTAAATATGCCAAAAAACTAATCTGAACAATCAGTAGCCATTTGTGTGAACCTGGGCTCTACTACCTCTAACGGTCTTTCACAAATTCTGTTGGCAATTGGGTACACTGGTATATATCTGTATAGACATCAATTAGGATTTATATGAAATGCCTTTAGAAAAAATTCTTTGAGCCCACAGAGCCTACTTTTTATAAGCATCTAGCCCCAGGAAAATACTGTGTGAACCAAGAATCATGCAAAGTAAACATTCTCACTTGAAATGATAGACTATCAGGATTGATTCAGAAGAACATGGGGGATATGAGAATGGTGAAGCAATGGAGAATAGTTGAAATCTGGTGAAGCTTTTGTTCTCTCCACATTTATATGTTTTAAATTTTCCATAATAAAATCTTTACAGAAAAAGTGACACATATTATTTATAATAAAGTTTGTAAACTGAATACTTCTCAAACAATTGAATGGTTATTCCATAATTTTTAAGATATGAGAAAATACATGATATAAGCATGTTCTATTCAATATGTATACAATGAATTATGACAAAAGGAAAAAATTTTATATAGAGGTTGGAGATAATGTATTTTAATGTATTATGGTAATTTTCAGAAAAGTAATTTTACAATCTTTCTCCCACCTTAACTTTGAGCTGTCTGTTTGGAAGATCCATATAAAGAGCATCCCACTGTTGTACAGTCAAGCCCTTCAGAGTCAAGATTGCCTCAATCACCAGCATGTCAGAAATAGCATCACCAGCTGCCTACAAGACAAAGTGAAAGAAATTTAATGTCAGCAAAGCTTGGAGATGAATGCTCTATCTTAACCAATCACAGTATCCTGTGCCTTCTCCCTGCCCACCTCCACACAGGATTATTACACCATAGTATATGGAGAAAGAGAAAGGGAATGGAAGACCACAATGAGTTATACAAACAATATTGAAACTACCTCTTAAGAAACCTGCCATTAATCTTCCTCATTATAAATTAAACCGGATAACTGTTAAGTTTCCAGCATTAACATTCTATGATTCAAATTTTCCGTTATAACAAGATCCCTTTTGAGATATACCATGATAATGGAAGGCATCATGCATGGTAAAGTGTAAGACACACCTAAACTTGGATCCATACTCTTCATTTATTAGCTCCAAGCCCTTTGTTTCTTCATTTATGAAATGGGAATTATAGTAATGCCTCTCCCTGTATTATTGCAAGGATTATACAATGACGTATGTCAAGTGCCTCAAATGTGTAAGATTCAAATATTAGATCCACCACTTTTCTAGGTCACACTCTTGGCTCTTCTGCTGCCATATTGTAGACTCCAATCTCAATGATGCAACCCATTTATAAAAGACTCAATAGCTGATCTTGACTCTAGGTGGAAGCAACTCATTACACTTAATTTTCATCATAAAATGTAGGGGGAGGGAAACACATCAATGTTCTATCACCACATTTCAGTTCAGTGTAAATCTCAACTGTATATACCACTGTGGCAAGGAAGTTGCCAGGACTTTTCTACTTTAATTTTTTATTCAGGCACGCCTGGGTGTCTCAGGGTTCTGCATCTGACTGCTGCCCAGAACATGATCTCAAGGTCCTGGGATCAAGCCCCATGTCAGGCTCCACCCTCAGCAGAGAATATGCTTCTCCCTCTGCCCTTACCCCCTGCTTGAGCTCACTCATGTGCTCTCTCAACAAAATCTTTCAAAAAAATTTTTTTAGACAGCATACTATTCTACCTTCTGAAAATGTAAAAGTAACCAAGAGCCTGCCACCCACCAGCTCTGACCTGATTAAACAAATCAATAACATTTTCAAGCATCTTAGCAGCTTTCCTTTTCTTATCTTCTAATTCTTTTGCTAGTTGTTTTATCCTTATTTCAGCAGCTTTACTAAACAGTACCTGCAATGAAAGCATAAAACAGAAAATCACAAAACACACTATCCATGCCCCAGGCACCCTAGCTAAACCACTTTTGAAACCCTCAATGACTGCAAAAACGGGAAAAATAATGGCAACTTTAGAATGAATGAAATTAGGAAGATCAAATCAGAACCCAAAAGATACTACTAGGGGGGGGAATTTCCTTTATGGATTATAAAACTGGTTATCAAAATTTAAAAAGCTGATTACAAAGAAAATTCCACCCTAGCAGAGGCAAATGCACATGATGAGTTCTTTATGTTTGCCCCTCAACCAGCTGCATCACTCCTGTGCAACCTGATTCTTTAAGCCTATCTGTATCCATTTTACTTAGAAGAATATAAAATTCAACAAAAGTAGTATAGTTTTCTTGTCCTGAAATACTTTTACCTAGCTTATATCCCTAATAATAAAGAGATTCATCATATTTATCACATTACAGAAAATAGTACCATGGATGTTATACACATCATGTTCCTCAAGATTCTTGTCATTTTAAAATTCTTTGCCCGTGATTTTAGTGCCTTCCAAGGTTCAATACCATAGTCAGCACTCTGGTCACTGTTTTTGCCCGACCACAGCCATACCCACTTACCCTACAGCAGCAACAGAAACCTTGTAGCCCAATGACTAGAATACATACTGTCTTTAAAATCATTTATCAATATCTGAATTAATTAGATCACTGCAGTTATAATTTAATTGCATTTCCTAAGAACTGATTTTTCTTAATTTAAGGCCTCTAGAACCAGTTTGAAATTAAGGAAAATAATCTGACCCAGAAAACATTTTCTGTTGGCCACCTCCATTTATGAAATGAGGTGAGGTATAAAAATATTTTTTATTTTATTTTTTTATAAAAATGTTTTTAAAAAACCCTGAATATTATGAGTATTATTACTAAAAGCCAGATAATATACTTCAAAATGTATAAGGTATGTGTACTATATTCTCAAACTTTTCAAATACTCTACCTACAAAAACCCTAAAAATTTTATATGCTTATGGCTAATTATACTCATTATAATGAGTTGTTCATAACTTAATTCTCAAGTGTTCAAACACTTGAATGCTACTGAACTTTTCTTTACACTGGTCATAAGTGGTAAAAGGAAAGATTTTTAAATGATATATAGACCACCTGCTTGAAAAAAAAATTAACTGCATTTTTTTTTTTTAGGAAACTAAGAATAATGTCTTCATACTCAAAAATCACTATCTAAAAGAAAATCAGTTTCACAACATAGAAGACTATATTAGTTAACCAAATAATCTTCTTCTGCCATCATACTGATCATTTCAACAAAGGGGGCTATAACGTAGTACTATCCAGATACAGAATTCCCATCATTAAAAAACGTCCAGCTACAGCCAGCTGTAGTTGATTAAGAGAACTTACCGTGCCATGCCCATTTGCTTCAAAATAAACTCCAATGTCAAACTCTTGAGCTTTGTGGTGCAAATGTTTTACACCAGTTTTAGTACAATAGACAGGCACCTATGACATATTTAAAAAATGTAACTGCAATTATTCAATTGGCAAATAGTTATTTTGTCCCTACTCTTCCCAAGGACAGCACAGGGAACAAACCTCCTGGAGCTATCTAGTGAGGATGACAATTAAGCAATTAAAATACAAAGTGATGTTAGTGAGGGGGAGTGAAGGCACTTACAGAAGCCCACAGCCAAGGAAAAAGCAAGAGAGTGTCACCTGATAAGATAATGCAGGATGTGGGGAGCGGGGCAGAGAGTGACGTGATCTAATTGTAGAAAGCTCAGCTACAGTGTGGAATGGCTTATAGTAGGGGGTCTGCAAGCTTTTACTACAAATGGCCAGATAATATTTCAGGCTTTACAAACCGTATGATCTCTCTCACAACTGTTCACTTCTGCCATTAATGTAAAGCAACTACGGACAATACAGAAACAAGTGAGCATGGCTGTATTCCAATAAAACTTTATAAACATGTGGCAGACTGGATTTGGTCCACAGGCCACTATTTGCTAACCCCTGGCTTAGAAGGTTAAAAGAGCAGGAGGGTTCTAGGACTAAGCCCATTATGAAATTACAGTAGTCAGACTAGCAACACTTGGGCGGCCTAAATCTTGGATGGATCTAAAAGAGAAGAGTGGTTACGGCTAATGGTGGCAAAAGTGCAGAAGAGATCAAGATCAAAGAAGATTGGCATTTAACTGGATGTAAAAAACCTCAGGAAAGCTAGAGCTCAAAAGATTGCATCCATCCATAGGAGAATGGGTTGATGATTAACAGTTTCAGGTGTGTTCTTAACAGTTTCTTAAACAGGCTATCTTAACCTATAAGAAATTTTTTAAACAGAAAAATAAGAAAATACTGAAACAATAATCCAGGAGCTGAGAATTCCTGTGAAAGATGAAATGCCACGAGTGTTTACTACAACCTTATACTTCAATCAGGTCACAAATTAGCAGCCTCCAGATGTGTTTCATTTTGCCTATTTATTTGGAATTTTGAATCAGTTGCCAAGACTTAAAAAAGGAAGAGATTTACACAAAATTCAGATTTTCAGCTTCTCTTAAAGAATCTGACTAAAGGTGACAGCTGCTGGCCTGGCTGGGCACATACTTCTCTGTCCTCTTCCCCCTGCTGTACTTAGTCACCTCACCTACCAAGGTTCTACAAGAATTTGACTTTGCCATCCTTGCTTAAAAAAGAATGGAAACGCAACAAAAACTAGTAAAATGCAGAAATTTGAAAAGGGATACACAAAAGTTGGAAAATAATACACTAGCTAATGAGAAAGAGTAAAGGCAAATCGATCTAATTTTGGCTATGAACCCTCTAACTCTTGGAGATGATGTGGTACACAGGATGGTCATCTGGTGGATGTTGGGGGGGAAAATTAGATACAAAACCTCCTACCAACCCAGAAAACTTTTCCACAAAAGAGTAAGAAAATAGTTTTAATTACGGAATAAGCATTAAGCCAGACTGTGATATACCAGAGGCAATCTGCTAAGAGAATGCAAAGACAGAAATCTCACCATTGGGCAGCCCAGGTGGCTCAGCCTTTAGCGCCTGCCTTCAGCTCAAGGTGTGATCCTGGAAACCCAGGATCGAATCCCATTGTCAGGCTCCCTGCGTGGAGCCTGCTTCTCCCTCAACCTATGTCTCTGCCTCTCTCTCTCTCTCTCTCTCTCTCTCTCTGTCTCTCATGAATAAATACATAAAATCTAAAAAAAATCTCACCCTCATATAATAGAGCTGAAGCTAATAACAGACCAAACTTTCCCTGTGAGCTTCAACAGGTCCTGTCCTTGGGTGTCTCCCACAGTGCACTGTCAGCAACAATCTCCTACCTCCTAAAACTGATCAAAGTCCTCGCTCTATCCCATCCCCCAGGTAGTATGTAATCACCCAGGCCTGCCTTCAGCAGTTCAGGTAGATTGAGCCAGAATCCTCCCTGATGACTGCTCAGTAATTTCCCATCTACCAACCACCCCCCCTTGCTCCTTGGCTACAAAATCTCCACTTTTCCTTATTGTATTAGGTGATGAGCCCGGTATCTCTCCCCGGCAATAGTCCCTATGCCTACTGAATAGGCCCACTTTGCAAGGAGACTTCACAGGGCCATTTGTCACATGTTTTTTGTCTTAAATTTACCTGATAACTGCGGTGGCCATCGATGTTTAATCCTTCGGAAAAGAATAATAAAATAATAAAATAATAAATAATAAAATAATAAAATTTCTCATCTCTCTATAACAAGTAGATAGATGGCTGGCTCCGAGGTATACCTAACATAAACTCAGGACCCTGGGAGACAGGTGCTAGCTTCCCTGAAGTTCACATTTCAGTGCAGGGACTGAAAACATTCCTGAGCCATAAAATTTACTTAGCCTTTAAAAAGATTTACATTCATTATAAAGGAGACAGAGAAGGAATTTACAAGTTTTCTAAAAGAAATGCTCTAAAAAAAAGGGAAGGGGTAAGTCTCTTTCCGTTTTCACATCAGGGACAATTTCTTTTCCTATTTTTGATTTCCACTCACCCTTAAATGGACAACAGCTCAGTTTCATGTACTACAAGCTATTCATTTATTCATATAAGTGAGGTCATTGTTTTCCTCAGGGAAAAATCTTAGAACATAATAATTAAGAAGCTACCAGAAAATGGAAATGGTTCAATACCTTCATAACTTCTTCAAGATACCGTGTTGAACTTCCATTTGCATATGCAGTTTGTACAACACCAATATTCAAACTTTCTCCAATCTAGATAAAAACAATGATAATTGGCCATCAAAAGTAAAGACACTAACTTATAAAAGCAAACATGTAACAAGAGTTCCAAAGGATGACAAAATCATCACCCAGTTCAGCTGTGTCTTAGTTTATGCAATGAAAGCTGTAAATGAAAATTTACATGCATGCCAGAAAAAAAAGCTAAAATACTTTTGAACATCATTTAAATTCCATAAGGAATCTCTTCTAAAGAAGCTTGTGATTTCTTGCTAATTTTTTAAATAAAAGTATTTACTGAATTCTTAAAGTATACCTTTTTCCACATTATAATAATTACTTCCCATTACATTTTATACTTAAAGCTGGCCTAAGATTTCCAAAAGAGCAAAACAGAGCATACCTCTTACATTATTAAGTATAATACAGAAAATACAGATCTCAGAGAATAAGATTTTCTGTTTAAACTTGAGGCTTTGGAAGTGATGATGGAATTCTCATTAATAAAGTGCTAGTTATGAAGAAACCAAAACTTCATAAGGCTTCAAATCACAGTTGCCAATATAAGTAAGAAAAGAATACTTTCAGGTTCCAAAACCAGTGCCCCATGTTGAAATGACTAATATTACCATATCTTCTTATATTTTCTGGCCACAAAGGTAAGGAACTCCATATGTATTGTGCCTCTGAGACATTCAAATGCCTGTTAGTCACCAGTAAGTCTTGCTCTGAAGGGCAGTTGATCACTCCACCATACCTCCAATAGGAGCTCTTTAAGGAAGCTGCTAATTAGTGTTGCTATCTTGTCTCCATCTATGAGATGAAAGTGACCATCTACATCAAGGTAGTAATAAACAATTCTGTCTGCATCTCCATCAAAGGAACAACATCTTTCGTTAGGCTTCATTTCCATTCCTAGCACACAGAATTTAAAAATGGATTTCAGTCAAAGAAATGGGAATAAACCTCCATAAGGTTTTTCTCTTACATTAGTTACAAAGGAGAAATATTTCACTAAAGTATGATCATAACTGGCCTTATGTGTTCCATCAAACCATGTCCACTATCACTTTTCAAGAAGTACTTAAAATTATCCTTCCAAATAAAAACCAATGCCTTAATCTTTAATTAGTATAAGGGTTTATTGGTTGTTTTTACAGGGTAAGTTCTTTCACAGCTAACTGGAAAAGAAGAATTCTATGCTGAAACGATGTAATATTAACATAAAATTCTGTTCTGTAAGCTACTTGGTTTGGCAAGACAGGGTCCCATAGTTTTTTGTTAGCTACAGATATTTGTGAAAGCAACTGACCTAGTACTATGATGTCCTTTACATATAAAAAATAATCAGCAATAGATGAGGTATGTGCTTTAATTCCAATAGAACCGATTCTTATTTGTTCACACTATCAGTAACAAGAAACACTGGTAAGTTAAAAGAATTGTAACATGTGAGAGAAATATAGCTTGTGTAATTTGCATAAAGTTTTCAAAACCTCAGCAACTGTCATGTCCAACTTATTAGAAAATTCTGCTATTCCTTAGCCATGACAGCAGCAGGTGGACAAATCCAACATGAGGCTTCCATGAGGAATATATTTTTTTTAAGATTTATTTATTTATGAGAGAGAGAGAAAGAGAGGCAGAGATATAGGAGGAGGGAGAAGCAGGCTCCATGCAGGAACCTAACGCGGGACTCGATCCCGGGACTCCAGGATCATGCCCTGGGCCAAAGGCAGGCGCCAAACCGCTGAGCCACCCAGGGATCCCCTCCATGAGGAATATTAACGTAAGGTTGACCATAGGGCATAACACAAGCTTCAGGAAAGTGAGAGGGCCTTTAATGGTTTTGTTCATACTGTAGCTGCGTGATGCAGGACCGCCAAGCTCAACAGTGAAGAAAGAATTCTTGAGATATTTTAAAATGTAAAAGGTGCTTTTATTATAGGAGGGGAAAGGATCCACGGGCAGAGAAAGCTGCACTGGGATTGTGATGAGTGAATGATTATATACTTTTAAGTTTGCTTGGGGGGGTATGATTAGAGAGAAGATAAGTTTCTAAGGAATTTCTGCATGCTGAAAGTGAAGTTTACAGGATCTTCGAGGTCTGGTTATTGCCAAGATAAGGCTACTTTTAGTCTCTATCAATATACATCAACATGAAGGCAGCCATGAGTTCCTTGAGGTATAGTCACACACTGCATGTCTCAGGTATTAGTGGGCTGCAAGTTGTAAGGAGATTTAATTTTAGCAACATTTCTTTTGCGCTAAACATTTCTCATTACTCCTTCTCACCAGCGTCTAAAGCAAGGGAGCAGAAGAGCTCATTTTAGTGAATGGACAGATGAGGGACCCAAACCAAACTGTCAGTGAAAGTCACAAAAAGCAAGTCAATGAAAAGGAGTTAAAACTGATTGATTCAACTAAAAATGTAAATGCTTACTACAGTGAGGCAGAATAACAAATGAGAGAGAGGCAATTGGATGAGAACTTATGTGGAGTTCTGAAAAATGATGTCCTGTCTGAAGTGAGCAGGAGCTACTCCATGGCAGCTGATTATTGCCATGTAAGAATGGACGTTTTCTGATTTTGGTAAAGAAGTCAGAGTTTCTAATATTTAAGTAAAATCACAGTATCTTTAAATGGTGACAACTAATGCAATTAAACACACAAGCAACAGAGCAAACAAAACACATCTATCTGCCAGCCAATCATGGCCAAAACACTAAACAATTTAGTATCTGTATCGCTACATATACTCTTAGTGCAACTATAATCTCTTAGTACAACTACAATCTATAGAATAGTTTTCCTCCTGATATGCCAATTGTACAAAACAGTGATTTTGCAGACAGTTATAATTAAGAGTTGCATTCCCTTTCCATAATGCGTATAATTCAGATGAGGTAAAAAATAAAAAAATGCTACTTAACTATTGCTATCCTTTAGATCAATGATTCTCACAGTGTGGTCCCCAGACCAGCACCATTAACGAAGGTTAGGTACTTGACAGAAATCAAATTCTTACCCTACCTAAATCCTACTCCACCATCTACAAAATGAGAAACTCTAGAATCTAGGAATCTACGTGCTAATAAGCCCTCTAGGTGATTCTCATGCATGCCACAGTTTGAGAATCACGGCTCTAAAACACCAATTTCTGATTTTGCTAACCCCTCACCCCCAGAGATTTCCTACACACTGTAGTTGTGTGACTTACATACAAAGAGAGTAGACCATGTTTTGAAAGACACTGACAAGTAAGGAAATGCTCAGATGTCTAGAGCAGAAGCACCAGGACTAGCTACATGACTCAACTCACTTGCCCACCTCTGTCTGTAAATAAGATTCATTTTAAAGAGCTCTAAAAACAAATTTTCTACATACCCTGTGGAGGCTTTTGATGACTTTTCACAAAATCAGCCCCACATAAATGGTTGAGTTTCCCTTTCGTCCCATCATTAAGTAGCTGAACTGACAGCTCCTGGGAAATGTAGTGTTCCATTTCTCTCAGCTTCAGGGCCCCTATGCCATTTGCACAGTCAACCTTAAGTGATCTATATTCATCTCCACTGCAGAAAGCCTTAAAAGGAAAAGACATAAAAGAAAAATTTCAAGCTATAAGAGAGTGAAGCATAAAGCACATATAGGTATATGTAAACATCTTCCATCATTTCAGTTAACTCATCTATTTTAACCTGAGAAAAAGGGTACACATATTTAGCTGAAAACTGTAGAAAACCAAAGTAAAATTTAAAAACCTTTATTTTGGACACTAGAACAGTTTCACCAATTGAGTAACTTATGGAAATGGAGTTTTATCAGAATTTAGCCTCAATTAAGCAAGGTCCCTTCAAAATAATACTACAGCCTATGTTACATGACAGGCATTTAAATGTGGGAATGAGCATACAGACAAATGAGCAGAATGACACCTGTCACTCTCTTGATAGTACATAACACCACTGGGCATGTCTGGATTTTTCCTGTCAACCTCCTCTTTGGCCCATCCTTAGTTCAGAATATAAGTTCTAGGAAAACAAGGGATTTGGTCAACAACATGTACTCAATATTTGTTGATCAAATTAATTATACCCCCCAAATCTCAACCAGGGTTTAAGAAGTTAATCTTCCAGGAAAAAAATCTTTCTCAACAGTAGACACCTCAAGTATGAAGCCAACAGCATCTAACATTAACCCTACAAGAAAATTCATCTGTATGAATATTTATGAAACCACAAGAACTCCATGTTTTCTCAAGAAAATTCATCTGTATGAATATTTATGAAATCACAAGAACCCCATGTTTTCTCTTCCAATTATCTCAATGTACTACATACATTGGCAAGTAAATACCAACAAACATTCAGCAGAATACAAGGGTCAAACCTTGTGGAGCCTTAGAAAGAAAAAGGAAATACAGCACATTATTGGAAAAAGGAGGAGTGACAAAATAAGATAAATTATTCAACTGATGTTACTTTATTCATTTGCTTAAACCCTAACCATGTTCAAGAGATTTTCACCTGTTTGGTAAGCTCCGTAAAGGCTTTAGAGAGTTTCTGGCAGTAACCTTCTATGGTTGCCTTTCCATATTGGCCACTGGTATTTCGACAGTACACCATGTAGTGCAGCTGGGGTGTCGTTAACAAGCCGTAATCTATCATAGAAATACAAAAAGCAATTTGTCACATTTCTTAAACGACAACAAAAAAAGTTTAAATGTATTCATATCACATGAATTTTAGAGTGACAAATGTTTTTTTTTTTAAAAAAAAAAAAGACCTTTCATAAAACAAAAATGCCAACTTCCAAATTATTCAGAAATACACATAAATATCCACTGAAATTATTACAACTGCCACATTGTGATGTTGTGATTTATAATAAGAAATAGAGACTTGGTCTTTGTCTCCATTCTTGGCAGAGCTTCTAAACCCTTAGAATTTCTAAGTGATGAGAGCAAGGAATTAATTGTCTTTTATTACGCTAAAGAATGGCACTGGAAAGCTCCTTAAGCACACTACGATGGGGCTGGTTGCCAGGGAAACCAACCACGTGATTAGAGAGTAGGAACTTAGAGACTTCTCCCTTATTCCTGGCCCCCTGCTGTGTTTTGTTTTGTTTTGTTTTGTTTTTAGATTTTATTTATTCATGAGAAACAGAGAGGCAGAGACACAGGCAGAGGGAGAGGCAGGCTCCCTGTAGGGGGCCTGATGTGGGACCTGATCCCAGGACCCCACGATCATGACCTGAGCCACCGAGGTGTCCCTCATCTGTGATATTTTTAGAAAATGCAAAAATGCTGGTTATTTCTCACCAAGCAGATTCCAGGGATCCCAAGATCAGTATTTCTTACATATAATTTCCTATAGCTAAAACAAAATATGCACACCCAGAGAAAAAAATGTTAGCTTTTTAAATTTATTTATTAAAAAAAAAAAAGATTTATTTATTTATTTATTCAAAGAGAGCGAAAGAGAGGCAGAGACACAGGCAGAGAGAGAAGCAGGCTCCATGCAGGAAGCCCGACGCGGGACTCGATCCCGGGTCTCCAGGATCACACCCTGGGCTGCAGGCGGCGCTAAGCTGCTACGCCACCAGGGCTGCCCAGCTTTTTAAATTTAAAAAACTAGTATTTTATAGCTAGTAGTTCTTTTTTTTTTTTTTTAAAGATTTGAGAGAGAAAGAGAGACCATGTGCACTTGTACATGGGGGAAAGGGCAGAGGGAGAGAATCTTCAAGGAGTCTCCCCACTGAGCGTGGAGCCCGACACAGGGCTCGATCCCATGACCCATGAGATCATGACCTAAGCTGAAAACAAGAGTCAGACACTTAACTGACTGAGCTACCCAGGTGCCTCTATACCTGGAAGTTCATTTTTTAAAAACTTCTTTTATCTGTATTTTCTAAAATGTTACTTTTACAATTTTCTTAAAAGATTTAAGTTTTTTAAAGATTAATTTAGATCAGAACAGCTACATACCATGGAATTGACCTTCTAAAACAGTCACACCATCTATTACAGACTGTGAAAGTTTCTCACTGCTGGGCCTAGAAAAGAAAAGGAAGAAAATAACACATCCCACCCTGACACCAAGAGTTGCCAGTTCTGAAAGCAGATGTAGAAATTATGGGCTACAAATTTCAGAATAATAGGTTCGGTGTATTTGAACTAAAACCTGTCAAGTCTGAAAACACTGCAAAGATAATACAAGTAAAATATAAGCATTTTCTAGCAGGCTTTCACAATATATTTCTTGGAAAGAGTCTGGCTCTTAATGAATTTAGAAAACAGATATAAAAATACACTAATTACACCATACCCAAATACCTTTTCAAGTTCAACTGTAACAATATATACATTACCTAAAAATAGTAGCAAGAAATACTGAATGCACACACTTTGCATAATGCAGTACCAAGAATATAGAACCTATTTTTCATTTGGAAAAGTCATAACAAATTATATATCTGAAAATAAAGTAGATCATTATAACTGCCTTCTGGAAAATGTTCTATATCATTTAAACTAATTAATTGGTAAGAGGCAATTACATGTGGGATGGCTTCACTGTGAGATAATAATTTCAGAACATAAGTCACTAGGCTATTTCTGATACCCATAAATCCACAATCAGTGGTATTTAGAAGTCTCTCTGGTAACACACTAAGGATAAAATACTAGACATTGTCATATCATTAAGACTATGATTAGAAATTTCCTTTAGAAAGAATTTCTAAAATGAGATCTTACACTAAAGAGAATGCTTCTGTTTTAAGGCACACTTTTAATCTAACATTTTACAATACTTTTTTGTAAAGGAATGCAAAAGCTGCCAAATATGACAAGTAGTCCCCTCTTGTCCATGGTTTCAGTTACCTGAAACCGTAGTCCAGAAGCATGACATATCATCAAGTCAACAGGAGCCTAACACTATGTCACAATGCCTACGTGATTCACCTCACATCCTCTCTCAAGCAGGCATTTTATCATCTCACATCAATAACAAGAAAGAGAAGGGGGAGTACGGTACAGTAGGATATGTTGACAGTGAGAGACACTACACTCCCAGAACTTTGTTTATGGATTTCATTTATTTGACAGAGAGCACAAGCAGGGGGAGTGCAGGCAGAGGGAGAGGCAAGCTCAGTGCTGAGCAAGGAGACTGATGCGGGGCTCCATCCCAGGACCCCAGGATTATGACCTGAGCCGAAGGCAGACGCTTAACCGACTGAGTCACCCAGATGCCCCTAACATAACTTTTATTACACTATGTCATTATAATTGTTCTTTATTATTTATTGTTGATCTCCTGTTGTACTTAACTTAAAATTAATCTGTATCATAGGGGCGCCTGTGTGGCTCAGCTGGTTAAATGTCTGACTCTTGATTTCAGCTCAGGTCATGATCTCAGGGTCATGAGATTGAGCCCTGTCTCCAGGCTCAGGACTGGGTGTAGAGTCTGCCTGGGATTCTCTCTCTCCCTACATGTGCACAAATGCACTAATAAAAAAAAGCTTAGAGCAGCCCGGGTGGCTCAGCGGTTTAGCGCTGCCTTGAGCCCAGGGCCTGATCCTGGAGACCTGGGATCGAGTCCCATGTTAGGCTCCCTGCATGGAGCCTGCTTCACCCTCTGCCTGTGTTTCTGCCTCTCTCTCTGTGTGTCTCTCATGAATAAATAAATAAAATCTTTAAAAATAAATAAAAATAAAAGCTTAAAAGAATTCATCTTTATCATAATTATGTATGTAGAGAGAAAAATATGGTATAAAGAGTTCAGTCTTGAACTCCAAGGGTCTTGGAATGTATCCCCTGCATATAAGCAGGGGGAGGGGACTATTGTATGTAGAAATAATATACATTGTTAATGTTTTCCAGTGAAAGCCAACATGTGCAAATGATACCAAAAAATGAACCAACAATAATGCAGATTATTAGGCAAATCTCTATAAATACTGAATTACAATCAGGTATTCTTATTCTCTAAGAGAAAACAATTAACTTACAGAAGTAAAGGGTTGGGAGACATATGTTAAGTACTTCTCTCAGGTCAGGTATTTTGCATACATTATTTCATGTAATTTTCACAAAAGCTTTATCATCAACATTTTATAGATGGGCATATGGAAGCTCCAAACGTTAAGTAACCGATCCAATCATATAGTGTTAGAGTTGGAGCTCGGACCCCAAAACCCAAGATGTAGGAGCGACTTAGCTCCTACATCCTACTAAAAATAAAAAGGCCAGGTAGGTGGAGGAGCCTCTTAGGGCAGTTCCACTTAATACTTTCAGTTTATTATGGGTACTAAAACTGATGCAATCATTTAGGTCAAGTTCCCAAAGCTCCTTTCACCAATAAGTTCGATGGTCACCTGGTATCTCTACCAATCACTACGAAGGCATCTTGTTGCAGATTCACGGCTGCTTTCACACTGATGTCCATCAAAACTCTTGGCATATCTTGTTCCTCAGCATTTGCCAAACAGGTAGCATGTTCCTCCCAGGAGGGTGCCAACATTTCACCCAAAGGATCAACCAATTTTACCCCATTGTCTTCCTTAAAAGAAAAGCAAACAATAAGCCATCTGTGCATATTCACAAAGGGTGAGTTGAAGAAGTAAACTCTAGCTGTTTTCCCCTAAAAAAAGACATTCATGGCTGAGTGGCTTCACGTGTGACGGTATGGAATCCCAGGGAATGGACTGTTTTATATAAATCCTCACCACAAACATCAATCTTACTAATAATCCTATTTTTATTCCACTCTTACTTTGAAAAAAACAGAGATTTAGAGAAAGTAATCTGGTTATATTCATACAGCTAGTGAGTGTCAGTGCTGGTATTGAAACATCAAGTTGGGACACCTGGGTGGCTCAGTGGTTGCGCATCTGCCTTCTGCTCCGGGTGTGATCCCAGGTCCCAGGGATCGAGTCCCACATCAGGCTCCCCATGTGGAGCCCGCTTCTCCCTCTGCCTGTGCCTGTCTCTTTGTATCTCATGAATAAATAAAATCTTTAAATAAATAAATAACAAAAAATAAATAAAACATCAAGTCTATATTACTCTTAAACCCACCAGCCACTATGCTTACACTAGTTTTTTAAAAAGGCTATCATCTGTGCATTCACCATCAATTACATGACCAGGGCACAAATGGAGCAGAAGGACACCAAGATATCCTCCTCACTATGACTCTGGACTCTTCTTTTTTTTTTTTTTTTTTTTTTAAAGATTTTATTTACTTATTCATGAGAGACAGAGAGAGAGGCAGAGACATAAGCAGAGGAAGAAGCAGGTTCCATGCAGGAAGCCTGATGTGAGACGGGATCCTGGGACTCCGGGATCATGCCCTGAGCCAAAGGCAGACATTCAACTGCTAAGCCACCCAGGCATTCCAACTCTGGACTCTTTAAGAACACACTGGCCAATATATCAACCAGTCAGTGACAGAAGCTGAAAGTTGATTCCCAATTCCATTCTGCTCAAATGAAATAAATAAAGGGGGGAGGGGAAAGGGGGAAGAAATAAAAATGTAATTCAGAGTGAATTTCAACTGAAGGAAATAGCTCAGTATTGTTTTACGAAGTACTTCTAGAACTAGCAATAAATTTAGGCTTCAGACCACAAGTCAATAATCAACTGTGGTGATTCAGACATTCAGACACACATTTTATAATGATCCACATTTACAAGTTGGACGAATAATGTCCTTTTGTGTGTTGGGGGCGGGGAGTAGAGGAAGGTTATACTCCTTCACAGATCTACATAGCTTTAATTTGCTACTGATTTAGCTACAAAGACAAAAATCTCATGCTCTTGCAACCAAACAGAGACATAGTACTCAAACCACGCATCGGTGAACTATATAGGCAGTACAAAACAAAACAGCTAAACTATGTCAAAAGGAATATTTTGATTAAAAAAAAAATGGAGGTGACTGAATGGCTCATTCAGTTGAGTGTCCAACTCTTGGTTTTGGCTCAGGTCGAGATCTCAAGGTCATGGGATTGAGCCCCACATTGGGCTGTGTGCTCAGTCAAGAGTCTGACTGAGATTTTCTCTCCCTCTCTGCCTCTCCCAGGTTCCCACACTCGCTATCTCTAAAATAAATAAATAAATCTTTAAAAAAATTTAATTGTCATAACACTAGAACCATCAATCCTCATCAATAACCTGCTCGAAGCTTACTTTAATATACGTGGAACCATCTGTTTGGCTGTTCATTCAGAACAAGAAACTATAGAAAACCAGTCTAAAAAATTTCAAAATCCACTAAACCTTTTCAAATGCTTGCCCCATCCCCAACCTTGCCTCCAACCTCTACTAAATTAACACAAGTAACATTTTTGTTATTGATACTGTCTCAATACAACTTGGAAGGACATTCTGTTATTTCTCTAATATGGACTTAGTCCAAGAAATGACTCTCATTTTCATTCTCTCCACACCCTTTAAAGTCATGAGCTAAATGATCACTCATCAAAAAAAAGCCACTTCAGGGTGCCTGGGTAGCTCAGTCAGTTAAGCATCTGACTCTTGATTTCAGCTTGGGTTGTGCATTGTGCATGGCCTCAGGGTTGTGGGATCCAATCCAGGGTCAGGCTCTGCACTCAATGGGGAGTCTGCTTAGGATTGTCTCTCCTGCTGCCCCTCTCCTCACGTTCTCGTTCTCTCTCTCTCTCTCATAAATAAATCTTTAAGAAAAAGCCATTTCAAATCCAAAGGCACATGGGCAGCCCCGGTGGCGCAGCGGTTTAGCGCCGCCTGCAGCCCAGGGTGTGATCCTGGAGACCCGGGATCAAGTCCCACATCGGGCTTCCTGCGGGGAGCCTGCTTCTCCCTCTGCCTGTATTTCTGCCTCTCTCTTTGCTCTCTGAATGAATAAATAAATAAATCTTAAAAAAAAAAACAAATCCAAAGGCACATAATGAGTAGGCACATTCCTAGAATCCAAATTTGTACTTCAGGTCAAACCGTTCAGACGCTAAGATGTGTTCCTGTAAATAAAGATTTGCTTTATCAGAGCACTAAAAGCATTACCTCGGGATTATGTGATGCTGTTACCATGACTCCTATTGTAGATTTTGTCTGTTTTGATCTCAGGACAGCCAATAATCCCATGCGAAACATGACATGATCAAGATGTTCTGCTTTTGTTCGAAAGCCAGCAGTCCCATACTGAAGAACGAGTCCATTGGGCTTGGCATGTAATGCTGAGTATTTTGTAATAGCATCTAAATCCATGTCTACAAAATTAAGGAATATTTTTAATCATAAGAAATCCTTCGAGGACCATTTGCTTCAAAAACTGCCACCCTAAACTAACAGATCTGCCTCGCTCTGAACCCCCACAAAGAAAGTTTGAGAAAGAAAAGAACGGCAGAATAAGTCCCAGTGGTGGGCACTGGGAAGATCCTGCCCAACTTGTATCCTCCACTCCGGGGCAAATAGCAGGTTATCCCCAAATCGTCTCTCATTCTGGCTCTGGGGCTATTCCTTCCTGGACCCAGGTGGAACTTAAAATGGTCCACTCTCAACTGAAATGAAAGATTCCACCCATAGATTCATAAACTCCTACAACAATCAAAGATTGCCCCATTTTACAAATGGAAAAACCTAAGCCTAGGTCTCAGTTAAATAACCTACATTTACTTGGGTAGCTGGTGACAGACTGGGGCCCAAGGGCAAATACTGTCAAATGAACTGGGACTACATATCCCAAGTATCTGGGGAATCTGTCAGTTCTTTTGTTATTCCTCCCAGACCACAGAGACTTGAGCCCAAAGGAAAGGCAAAGGGCAACAGCCTCCTCTCCAAGGCTGCCCAGACCTCCTACCTTGCAGTGGATTTTTCCATTTTCATAAGGAAGGATCAGGACACCCTTCTAAACTACGCTCTGAAACTGGTAACATCTTCTTTTTATCTCTAATTGGCCCCTAGACCACTAGTACTTCTTTCTCTGGGATACTCCAATTTTAGGTGGAACTTGGCCTTTGTCCAACCTCAGCTGCACGTACTATTCAGTTCTCCCGTCAGTCTCATTCCGAAAGAGCCCAGAGATGAGCAGCCGTCCTACCTTGTTTTCTTCCCTGTCCTTTGTTGCTTCAATGAACAAAAGTTAAAGGAAATGGTGAAAATTTTTTTGCTTTCGTCCAGCTGTATAAACAACAACAACAAAAAAAGCTGGTAATCTGCAAGCTAATTTAGTTTGGCCCCAAGTGATCAAATCTCTTTCACAAGCGTGCGCACATTTTGTTAAAAACTGACCGTTCGGGAACATATCATGATTATTCCTCAGGGCGTAAACCAGTCCTGTTAAATCCAGGAAATCTTTTTTTTTTTTTTTAAGAAGATAAAATGCTTCCACCCTTCAAAGCGTTTTCGGTCTTAAAACTACGTTCCAAAAAAAAAAAAATACTATGTTCAATAAAAGCGAACGTGCGAACGCTTTTACTCAAAGTCCTTACAAGTCCAAACAGCGACCACTCTAAAAAAAAGTTGAAAGCATCCACCTTCTTTCCATTCAATTACCAACCGCTTGCTTGTTCCGCTTTCCTTCCAGCCCCCGAAGGCCGCACGCTTCCCGGCTCTCGACCCTGAGGCCGCCGCCGCCTCCCCCTGCCCCCAGTCCTGGCCTCTGGTCCGGCGCCCCCAGGACGAGACCCTCACACGGCTCTGAGGCGCCAGGGCGGGGGTGTCCCGCGCGCACCGCCCGTGGGTCAGCCCGCCCGCAGGCCGAACCGCCACGGACAGGAAAGCCCCACCTCACCGCCAACCTAGGGGCCCCGCTCCCCCCCCCCCGCGCCGGGACGTCCCCCTCACCTCCAGCTGGTGGAGCGGCGGCCCCGCGGCGGCGCCTCCTACCTGACTGAAGCCCTCAGAACCCGCGGACGTGGCCCTGCGTGACTTCCGGCCCGTCACCACGCCCCCGAGCCAATCACGGCGGGGGAGGATCCGCTGGCTCCGCCTCGCCTCTTTGCGGAGCATGCGCAGCCCGCGCCTGCGGAACTGCGGATCCAGGCTCTGTGAGGGCTTGGGGCTGTTTCCCTTGAATGACCGGGAAGGGTGAGGCCCCCGCGGTGGCCCGAGGGTTGGGGCCGAGGGTCGTGGGCCATCCGAGCAGTGCGACCTGCAAAGACGCAGCCCCCGCCTCCAGACTGGGGTCTCGGAGGGGGCATTCTTGCGTTCCTGGGAAGCCAGGGTTCCTGGTGGTCCCGGATGGGGGGGACCAACGCCGATGGGCCTCGGACAAGGTGGCCTTTCCCGCATACTCTCCTAAGATCTCCCCAAACGTTGCCTCCGGGAGCCTTCTCGAGCCGCTGCCCGCAGCCCGTCTCCCCGCACCAGCTCGCACTAAGCATTTATGTACCTGTAAGCCCCCACCCCCCCCTTAGGCTGGGCCCCTCCGGGCAGAGGCCAGGTGGACCCAAATCGCCCAGAACTCTCAGGACGCTGTCCCGGACTGATGTGGCTCCCGGGAAAGCCCTAAAGGCCCGCTCGGGAAGGGTCCTTGGAGCTGGGGCCGAGGGACGGCACCTGGCGGAGGCGGCGGGGCCCTCCCGACCTCGGAGCTGAGGGACCCGACCAGCCTCGCGGGACTGCGGGCCTCCCTTGCCCCGGGGCGCCCCCCGCCCACGCCCGAGCCCCGTGCCTTTCCCGGAATTCGGGCTTGCAGAGCATCTGCAGGTGTTTGCCAACCACCTACCACGGAATAATTTGGAGCACCTGTTGAACGTCCAGATTCCAGGATTTAGATGGGAAGCGGGGGTGGGGGTGGGGGTGGGGGTGGGGAGGTAACGGACTGCGAATCTGAAGGTTTTTAACGAGGTATCTTGCGGGGATGTTGTGCATCTTAGACTTGGGGGTTGGGAGATAAAGCGAAGAAAGAGTGTAAACGTCCCGGTTTGTGCCCCTAGCTGTCGGCGCGTAGCGTTCCTGCAAAACGGCTTCCACGGAAAGGGACCTTCGGGAAATTTCTCTGGACATCGCTGAAATTAACAAACCTAGTGGCCCCCGGACCTTTACGGATTTCCTGGCAGGTGGATTTCGAGGCAACATGTCTGCTTCTATGAAAGAATGCCTGCAGCTTCAGCTGCTAGAGATGGAAATGCTGTTTTCTATGTTTCCTAACCAAGGAGAAGTAAAACTTGAAGATGTCAATGTCCTGACGAATATAAAGAGATATTTGGAAGGCACCAGGGAGGCGCTGCCACCCAAAATCGAATTTGTGATTACCCTGCAGATTGAGGAGCCCAAGGTAAGTACCCTGAGTTGTTTTCACTGCTGCTGGGTGCCCAGTTTTTAGTGGAAACACTTGAAATGTGAGCTTTCTGTTCAGGAAGCAAATAGAGACTATTCTAGATCTGTATATCCTTTACTTGTTTGAAAGTGAAATATGTAAAATTGTGGGATGCCCTGTAAACTGTCTTCAAAAAATATCTTGAATTTTACATAAATATGCACATCTTTTTAAACAAAATATGTCTAATGGTTGTAGTAAAAACATCTTGTATTCTCATACTACCATTGTTTTTCTTTTAACCAGTTTTTTTTTTACCATTCCAACTATTGTAGTATGTACTGTCTTGTACATATATCATGATTTTTATAAATCTAAATATTGCCTTTAGCAAAACTGACCTGTAAGGAGTGGATGAATGTTTCTTTGGTGGCACCATAACACAAAGCAGATACAGACAGGAAATCTAAATACTAAAAATGAATTTTCCTTCCTCTTCTGATCCATTGTCTCCACAACATTAGCATGAGTTAACAAGTGGACTAGGCGTTTGAGAACCCCTCTTCTTGTTGATTTCCTGTTCATCTTTCCACTATCATTCCCTCACAGAAGATCTCCTGGTGCCCAGAATGAATTCTATCTCATTGGTTACACATTTCAACAGATCCCTGTGCTTCTTACCATTGAAATGAAGTACCTGGATGTATAACTATTAGTTTAATGTCTGTTTCCTTCACTTTCCTTCACTAGGCTCTAGTCTTCATGAAGAACAGAAATCATGTCTGGCTTCTTCACTTATTTATCCTAGCATGGGGTCCCTGACACATGGTGGGTGTTCAGTAAATACTGGAAGTCATGAATGCCTAAGTGGAGGGAATAATGTCTGTTATGTTCTCAGTATAGTCTCTGGCCCAGAGCTGACACTTAATAGTAGCAATGATTGTTATATTTAAGAATCATGTAGTTGTCACTGATAAAGTAGCTTAGGTGATTTTATGGTACTTAAATCTATTTGATTTTCATTTTAAGGTGAAAATTGATTTGCAAGTAACCATGCCTCACAGCTACCCCTACGCAGCACTGCAGCTGTTTGGACGGTCGTCTGAGCTTGACAGACAGCAGCAGCTACTTCTCAACAAAGGTCTCACTTCCTACATAGGGACTTTCGACCCAGGTGAGCTCTGTGTATGTGCAGCAATCCAGTGGTTACAGGACAATAGCGCCTCCTATTTCCTGAACAGAAAGCTTGTTTACGAACCATCTACCCAAGCAAAGCCAGTCAAGAACACATTCCTCCGAATGTGGATCTACAGTCACCATATATATCAGCAGGACCTAAGAAAAAAGATTTTGGATGTCGGGAAAAGGTTAGATGTGACTGGATTTTGCATGACAGGAAAGCCAGGCATAATCTGTGTGGAGGGCTTCAAAGAGCACTGTGAGGAATTCTGGCACACAATTAGGTATCCCAACTGGAAGCACATTTCCTGTAAGCACGCTGAAAGCGTTGAAACCGAAGGAAATGGGGAGGATCTGCGCCTTTTTGATTCTTTCGAAGAACTACTCCTTGAGGCCCATGGGGACTATGGATTAAGGAATGACTATCACATGAATCTGGGCCAATTCTTAGAATTTCTAAAGAAACACAAAAGTGAGCATGTTTTCCAGATACTTTTTGGTATTGAAAGTAAAAGTTCAGACTCTTAGGAAGCTATTAAGAAGCCGATGCTTCACTAAGTCAGTATTTCTGTCAATAAGACCAAAACAAAAGGGCCAGTGGCTAGGTAGCATCATCTGTGAGACACCTAACTCCAGAATTTTTACCTGGTAATGAAACACAAAGGCCTTTAAACTTTATAACAGTGCAATTGTGATGTTACCTCTCTGTTCTTGTGTTAACTGAAAAGTATTTAATTGTACACTAATAAAAAGTCCATTTAACCAGTGAAGCTGACTTGATTAAAGAGGAGTCCAAATCCATAGTTAATATTAAGCTCTGAACTCATGAATAACATTCCTCTCTTGGATGATATTAGCACATGATGACACACCACATTTTCTTTTTTTCATTATTGGAGAATGAATTCAAAGTCTATTTGAAGTGAGAAGACCACATGTTGACTACATTTCTTACTTTAAAACTCCTATTTATAGTTTTTTTTTTCTTTTAGTAAAACCAGATCCTAACTGTAATGGCAGAGGAATCAGAGCAATGAAATCGCAAGAGTAATGAAGATGACATGTAATGCTATGTGTTCATCTGGCTGTTTCACCAGCTGATTAAAGATACTAGGGATAAGGATACCAGTATTCTTAGTTCTCCCCCAAAGAAGATGCAGTTTCTTGCCTCCAAACTGTTCCACAAGTAGTGCAGACTGTCAGCCTTTGCCTGTGTACCAGGACACATGCCCTGCTTTGTAGGGCAGGAGTGTTGAGGAGGACCACTGTGGATGGCTCTGCTCCATCACCATGGGGGAAAATCAACCTCTGCATTTTGAGAAGTCACTGCTATTTCCTCTGAAAATTCTTGGCTTCAACAGCCTTTGTCAAAAATCAGAGTTTATTTTGATGACAGTGACCCCTATTTAACTAGCACCTGCCACACCTTTTCCTTTTCATTGCCAAGGATCCACTCACCCCAGGAATTTCTACTAGTCTTGCCTGTGTTAGGAGATGTCCTGAGCTGACTCTGCAACTTTCTCTGGTTTCAGTGGTCGCTCTTTAGCCACTACTGCCTTTTCTCAGGGACTGTTTCATTCTCCTACTGAACTCAGGCCCCCCACTGATGCCCTGGTCCCCTCAGGATGCCAAAATTGATGTAACTTGGAGGGGAATGAATGCCTCACTCCCTATGTTGTAATACATTCTCTTAGATGCCAAACATTGCCACATGTGCTGGGGAGCTGACAGGATTTTTCGTGAAATAGTACATTCTGGTGTTTCTTTCTGTCTAGGATACAGACATATGTCCTTGAGCTAGAGCAAGGACATAATGTAACAGCAGACCCTGCACTAAGCTGACTACCTTGACCCTGCAGCCTTGGCATGTGGTCTACTCTGCCCTGCCCCACACTAGTAGATCAGAATGAGTTGCTTTCAAACCAAGGCTCTCATCATGGACTGGCCCTGCCAGATGATCCAACATGCCCATTCGTGTTTTAATCCTAGCCATAGATGTGGCTGGGACCCAAGCAAGGGCCTTATACTTTACCTTAACCTATATGCAAAGGGAAGAAATAGGACTTAAATTGCCAAAGACTCATTTCTCAATCTTTGTCATGACTGGAAACAATACAGTATAGGAGTCAGTATCCTGCATAATCTCCCCAAGACCATCAGTAGCTAGCACTCACAAGTTTTTAGGCCCAAATAGATGTGACTCTTACTTTTTTTTTCCCATATTAGGTGCTATCCACCTAATATGTGCCTAAACCTCTCATTGAGGGTTTTTTCCTATGATTAAATTAGCAGAATTAGTGATGGAAAGATAAAGAAGCTTAACTATAATATGGAATAAAAATTATTTGCATAATTAAATAAATGAATAACTTATGAACTCTTTACTGCTTATGGGGCTATTTCTGGTGGTAATTTTTCAGAATTTATTTTTACATGCTTGGTATTACCATGCAGCAATACTTTTTTTCCTATCAGAAACACTAATAATAGACATTAACTATGGGAATATAGGTCTTAAAAAAATAGACATATATGATAATTCAAAGTTCAGCTTTGTATGTATAGTAGACTGCTAGTTTTCTTTGGCCAGCCTGGTAGGAGCATGGGCCACCTTCCTCCCCTAGCAGCCAGCACCCAGCCCCACACACAGCCAACACTTACTCTGAGGAGCTGCCCCTTTCTCTGTATGGTTTGGGAGAAGTGATCAGAATCAAGTCACCCTCTGGCAGCCTTCTGGAGAGATGGTTTCGAGCTCTTGCTGCTTAAATCCATAGTGCCACCCTCATTAATGACCATTTATTTCTGACCTGAATATTCAGTTGTTCAACACTTCTTTTCAGCTACGTGACATCAGCCCTTTTTTTCTTAAAAGTCAGAAGTCTGAATTGCTTGACATTTAAGAATCAGGATATTGTACACATTCTATTTTTTAAATGGTTATTCAGAAAGAATGCTCTTTATAAATATTGTCCTTTTAAAACTTATTGAATTAAATAAGCCTTTCTTCAAGTATGTTCTGTGCTTCTCATTCCTTACTGGTCTATTATGTGTCAGGCTGAAGGTTGAGGCTAGTTGCGTCATGGACTAAGGAGTGGGTCCAAGTAGCTGATGGACATAATACAAAGGACCTCTAAAACATCCCTATATTAAGTATGTTGCTGGTGAATTTGAACTTCCATCTATGACTTTTACATGCCAACCATCCCTTCAGAGAACTTGCAAAGGCCTGAGGGAGCCTATCTGAGGTCTTCACAGAACAGGACAATTTTCTTTCATTTGCTTTTATCTTATATAGCCCAGTAGTAAATTGAAAGAATAGGTATTTTCTGAAGATGACATGGTTTGCTCAAAAATGCTTGTTTCACACAGAATCCTGATTTGCCTCAAAATTTCACCCATTGTGTGTCCCTCCTAAGTGCTCCATAGTAGAACTACTTTCACTGCAGCCTGGGCCAGCTTGGAGCAGCCTTTTTCTGAGCCCAATTAAAGCTAGCATTTGAATCAACCCAGAAATCAGTTTGAGCAGTGGACACAAATTTCAAAGAAATTGAGGCAACATTGAGGGACCGCCTTAGTCATAGCTGGAACAAAGTACACTATTATTCACTATTCGCTACTAACATCCTAACGTGCATCAGACATTCAACCTACACAAATTTGGCTGAGGCAGCAGACTCTTGTGCTTTCATGAGATCTTAGCAAGTATTTGGAAAATCTAATGATGTCTGTGCTCTGGGTACTATGAACATATCATTATCAATTTATTGGACCAGCGTGATGCCCTATATAGCAGCGAGATGATCAAGGTCTGGTGATAAGAATTATAATCTGTAATATTGTTTATTGATAGCACAAACTGTATCAGTAGCCCTCTACTTAATGGAATATTGGAAAAGCAAAAGTCATTGGCCTAATCACTAGCTACCTATTGATTTGCTCCAAGAAAGAGAACTTGTCTGTCAGCTGCAGTTGGAATCACCAGCTGATCCAAAGATCACATTAAGTCACCCCTGCTTCTTTTAAAGTTTTTGATGGTGGGACTTACTGCTGTTAGTCCCTGCCAGAATAACTCTTATTTTTGTGTGTGATTAGGGATCCAATGTGGTGATAGATGATGAAGAAATTAATTCTGACTCTTCACTGAGAAAATGACTAGATGGTGGAATTGTTCCTGTATACTTAGTCCTAAACATATGCTGAGTCCTATAACCACAGTAATTTTTGAGACCCTAGAAATTTGTATTCGTTCAGAGCTCTGTTACCAAGTGATTTCCAAAAGGACTAGAGGTTTCCTTTCTGCAATGCATTATTATTCTAGTAAATGGAACCTCAAAGGAAGATTTTGGATATTACAGAATTCATCACCTTCAGGGTCTCTCATTCATATCTGAGCAAGGCAATTTGCTGAAGGCCTTCACACTCTATATTGGTGGCTCCAGTCAGGTTTTTCTGCTGTTGTTGTTATACTATCAAATAGGCCCTACATTGGGTTGCCCACCTACTTGGTCCTAAGCCCAGATAATATTTAATGAATAAACACTAGTGTGGTTGTATCAGTTGTATACATTAGCACTCATTTTCTTGGTCAACATCTGTGTTGCCCTAGTTGTTAAATATTCCAACATCATTTCAGGTTATGAGGCCCAAAGATTTCTGTAGGCCAAACTAAGCCAATGACAGTGGACCAGCTTCCTATGATAACAGTTTCCATTGTGTCTCCAGTTGTTAACTGCTGCAAAGGACTGCTATTCAGCCTCTGTCAACCCCAAGATTCTGATGTCTCCATTAAAATAGGGAGCCCATTTAAAATAAATAAAAATAAATAAATAATAAATAAAAAGTAAACAAAATAACCCATTTTTGACCACAGCATTTCCTACAAGTATCCCAGGGTGATTAAAATGTCCTTAATTAAAAAAAAAAAAGTCCTCAATAAACTGCTGATTCCCTCAATACATTAAAAGGAGGGATACCTGGGTGGCTCACTGATTGAACATCTGCCTTTGGCTCAGGTCATGATCTAGGGGCCTGGGATCGAGGGAGCCTGCTTTTCCCTCGGCCTATGTCTCTGCCTCTCTGTGTCTCTCATGAATAAATAAATAAAATCTTTTTAAAAACATTAAAAGGATTATACACCATGAACAAGTGGGATATATTTGAGGGTTGCAAGGAAGGTTCAACATCAGCAGATCAGTCAATGTGATACATCACACTAACAAAATGAAGGAAAAAAAATCATATCTCAACAGATGCAGCATTTGACAAAATTTAATATCCATTTAAAATAAAAACTCTGAACAAAGTTTATGGAGGGCGTAATAAAAGCCACATATGACAAGCCCATGGCAAATATTATACTCAATGGTAAAAAGCTGAAAATTCATCCTCTCAATCAGGAATAAGGCAAAAAATGCCCATTCTTACCGCTATGTTATTCAACATAGTATTGGAAGTCTTAGCCATAGCAATTAAGCAAGAAAAGAAATAAAAGGCATCCAAATTAGAAAGTAGTAAAACTGTCTCTACTTGCAGATGACATGATACTATATACAGAAAACCCTAAAAACTCTACCAAAAATCTTGTCAGAACAAATGAATTCAGGAAAGTTGTAGTATACAAAAATCAGTATGCAAAATATGTTGCATTACCATATACTAATAACAAACTATCATAAAGAAAAATTTAAAAAACAATCCCATTTACAAATGCACCCCAAAAAAACCCCTAGAAATAAATTTAACCAAAGAAATGAAAGATGTGAACACTGAAAACTGTAAGGAATTAAGAAATTGAAAACAACAAAAATAAATGAAAAGAATTAATATTGTTACAATGTCAGTTACTGCCCAAAGCAATCTACGGATTCAATGCAATCCTTATCAAAATTCCAATGGCATTTTTCATAGAAATGGGAAAAATAATCCTAAAATTTGCATAGAGTCACAAAAGAATCCAAATAGTCAAAGCAATCTTGAGAAAAAAAGA